ACGCCTGATTTGCGCGGGGGCTCGATGACTAAGTAACTGAGCCCACAGACCCTCTTCAGGTTGAAGATTGCCTTACCTTCCGGGGTAGGGTCAAGTTCAACCATGACCATGTCCATAGGGACACATGTTTTAGGTTGCCTGAGTCGTCGCACTGCATTTACGGGGTATCCCTGAGCGCGGATGTCGACCTTAGCCTTGTCGGCATCCGACTTTTTGGGGACGCCCGTGATAACCCGAAGTTTGCGTTCTTCGGGCAACGAGTAGATGTGAAAACCTATCTTATTCTCGCGCAAGTACTTCGATACGCAGCGGAAGTCATCCGTTGTATCGAGGTATACACGGATACCTATATTTGTATTTTGAAAAATCCCGTAAAGCACAGTTCACCAGGGTAACACCCTTTGGAATATTTTAATACACAAATAGCTTGTACCTTCTATTAATGAGAAACAAAGCGGATGAAAAGAAATTATACAAAAAAATGTACAAAAATTAAACTAAAACACCAACTATGTTTAAATAAGGACGAGAATAGATTGCGTGGAGATATGATATATGTGATATGTGAATGTTGAGGTATTGGGGATTCCCCTGGAGTTCTCAGCAACAAGTAACAGTGCTGTCATTAAAAAAAAATAAGGTGTTGAATTATTTATAATAACGTGATGGGTAATGGTAATTCATATATACATATAATATATATGACACGGTAATTATAGTAAATATTCTTCACGGTAGATAAAACCCAGATAACGGTGCATCTACGGTAATTTCCGTGTATGTGGAGACGCTGCATCCATATGCCATGCCATAAAAAAATGTTATTTTCAAAAGCCCCTTATTGTATTCAAAGAAATTGTTTAAATGAGTTGTTTTGTTTTGTTTAGATAAATAAAAGATGACTTGGTTGAAATATTTTTCATTAAAAATAGTTGAAATAATTAACAAAACAACACAATATTAAATAAAATTTCATTAATTACTTTATTCTTTAATAGCATTTTTGTTTTTTTTTTACTCATTTTGGTGAGTCAAAAGTGATGCATGAAATATTGTTCATGGCCCTAAACTTTTTTGTACCCTGAGCCTAATTATCAAAAGGTTGTTAACGAACCTGGAACCCTCGAGTATAATAGATGAACCGTCTGCTCGCTTGGCAACTTTTCACATAAAAAAATAAAAAATAAATAAAATGTGATTTTTCTGAAATATTTACTGCTCCCTTGTGGATTTATACACAGTGTGAAGCAGATTTATTTGAGATATAAGGATAGCATTAAGTGATTAGTTTTTTTCAGTATTAAGTTCGACGGTTGAGACTTGACTCTTCATCCTCTGACTGACCCTATCGATAAAATCTAGGGTGTTACGTAATATTTAAAGATATTATATTTCACGGTTAATTGTCTTCCGTTGGGCTTTTATTTTATGCGCTACTCACTTTGCAGTAAAATAACATGAAATTTAATTTATTCATTGACATTTAATTCTTGCAAATCATACGAAAAAATGACTATTGTAAGTGATTATATATTATGATATATATTTTACCAGAATATTGATGCTATACATAGCCTTATAAATGTTAAAGATTAATAGTTGGTAATATTCCTTTGTTGTTTACTAAAATTGCATAAATATGTGGTCAACCAAAAAAGCATAGATATTATACATACACTTTGTTCATAGACATAACGACGAACGACGACATGTATGTTAGCTTTTCAAGCTTCACGAAAACAACGGATTAGTGTGTATGGAAGGGCAATTGATTTATTACGCCGCAAAACTTATTTTAGGGTAAGGGTTATTGTAAATAATAAAGGAACATTATTGTATTATAACACAGCATTACATTTTTCCCCTTTTTTTAAAAACAACGAACATTTAGTCAAAAACGTCATTGATCATTTTACGGGGTGTGTGCTTGATTCTTTCTTGCTCCTGTTAAGAAAAATGTATTTTTTTTTTCGCTAAGTGGTATAAGTCTTATTCGTTATGTTACTTAATAATATAAAATATTAATACGGCAATTTGGAGTTGCTTACCTACAATTTATAGGTTATAGCTTGTTTTGCCCTTTCTAATTGTGCCTTTATTTCTTTCAGTGTGTCATGTTATTGGGAATGAATGTGAATAAGTCAATAAAATTTTGATTATCAATAAGAGAATCAAAACTATCATATTAAGTTTATATCAATTTAAAAATGGCAACTCTTGAGCAGCAAGCCTCTAAACTCCTGGACTTTAACCAAAAATTAGATATCACATTGCTTGATAACATTGTTGGATGTTTATATTCTACTGTTGGGGAGCAACAACGTATTGCCCAAGATATTTTGACTGCACACAAGGAACATCCAGATGCTTGGACTCGTGTCGATACAATATTAGAATATTCTCAGAATCAAGAGACAAAATATTATGCTTTACAAATATTGGAACAAGTAATACAAACAAGATGGAAAGTATTACCAAGAAATCAATGTGAAGGTATTAAAAAGTACATTGTTGGTTTGATAATCAAAAATTCTTCTGATCCAGTAACAATGGAAAGTAACAAAGTTTACCTAAAAAAACTTAACATGATTTTAATTCAAGTATTAAAAAGGGAATGGCCCCACAACTGGGAAACATTTATAAGCGATATAGTAGGTGCATCAAAAACAAATGAGAGTCTTTGCCAAAATAACATGGTCATTTTAAAACTACTCAGTGAAGAAGTATTTGTTTTCAGTACAGGACAGCTCACTCAAACAAAGGCTAAGCATCTTAAAGACACCATGTGTTCTGAATTCAGTCAGATCTTTCAACTATGTCAATTTGTTCTTGAAAATTCACAAAATGCACCATTGGTTGATGCAACTCTTCACACCCTGTTGAGATTTTTAAATTGGATACCTCTTGGCTACATTTTTGAAATGAAGTTGATAAACACTCTGATTTTTAAATTTCTTAATGTACCTATGTTTCGCAATGTGACTTTAAGTTGTTTAACTGAAATTGCTGGTGTCACAGTAAGCAATTATGAGGAACAGTTTGTAGCTCTGCTGGTACAAACAATGGAACAATTAGAAGCTATGCTACCACTAACCACTAATATACGTGAAGCCTATGCTGCTGGTAGAGATCAGGAGCAAGTTTTTATTCAAAATTTGGCCTTATTTTTATGTACTTATTTAAAAGAACATGGTCAACTTATAGAAAGAAGAGGTTTAACTAACACCCTTATGAATGCACTTCGTTATCTTGTCTTAATATCGGAAGTAGAAGAAGTAGAGATCTTTAAGATTTGCTTAGAGTTTTGGAATGCATTGGCTACAGATTTGTATAAAATTGCGCCCTGTTCCCATTCAGCTGGCATGTATAGTCTTGGAAAGAGCATGGGCAGAAAAGCTTTATATGCAGATGTGTTAAGCAGTGTACGTTACATTATGATTTCTCGAATGGCCAGGCCGGAAGAGGTGCTTGTTGTGGAAAACGAAAATGGTGAAGTTGTACGAGAATTTATGAAAGATACTGACTCAATCAATTTATATAAAAATATGAAAGAAACATTGGTTTATCTCACTCATTTAGACTACCAAGATACTGAGCGAATTATGACAGAAAAACTGCAAAATCAGGTCAATGGAGCTGAATGGTCCTGGAAGAATCTTAATACCCTTTGTTGGGCTATAGGTTCTATTTCAGGAGCTATGTTGGAAGAAGATGAAAAAAGATTCTTGGTTGTTGTCATTAAGGAACTCTTGGGCCTATGTGAACAAAAGAAAGGAAAAGACAACAAAGCCATTATTGCAAGCAATATCATGTATGTTGTAGGACAATATCCACGATTTTTAAGGGCTCATTGGAAGTTCTTGAAAACTGTTGTAAATAAACTATTTGAATTTATGCATGAGACCCATGATGGAGTTCAGGATATGGCTTGTGACACATTCATAAAAATAGCATTGAAGTGTCGTCGACATTTTGTTACCACACAAGTGGGTGAAGCTTGTCCATTTATTGAAGAAATATTAAGTACAATCAGCTCTATTATCTGTGATTTACAGCCTCTGCAAGTGCAAACTGTTTATGAAGCTGTTGGATATATGATAAGTGCACAAGTTGACCAGGTTGCTCAGGAGCAGCTAATTGAAAGATATATGGTTTTGCCCAATCAAGTTTGGGATGATATTATATCCCAAGCATCACATAATGTTGATATTCTTAAAGATGCTGAAGCTGTCAAACAGCTCGTCAGTATACTCAAAACAAATGTGCGTGCTTGTCGTGCATTAGGTCATCCATATGTTGTGCAACTTGGGAGAATATATTTAGATATGCTTAATGTTTACAAAGTTATGTCAGAAAATATCAGTCAAGCCATTACTCTGAATGGAGTTGCTGTAACCAAACAACCCCTCATTAAGAACATGAGAATAATAAAGAAAGAGACATTGAAATTGATTGCAAGCTGGGTGTCACGATCCACTGATAATAGTATGGTGTTGGAAAACTTCATTCCACCTCTTCTTGATGCTGTTCTGTTAGATTACCAGAGGACAGCAGTGCCTGATGCAAGAGAGCCTGAGGTACTCTCATGTATGGCTGCTATTGTTTATAAATTAGGAGGACATATTACATCTGAAGTACCAAAAATTTTTGATGCTGTTTTTGAGTGTACACTTGAGATGATCAACAAAGACTTTGAAGAATATCCAGAGCACAGGACAGAATTTTTCTTGCTCCTACAAGCTGTAAATACTCATTGTTTTAAAGCATTCCTAAGCATACCGCCGGCGCAATTTAAATTAGTTCTGGATTCTATTATTTGGGCATTTAAACACACCATGAGAAATGTTGCTGACACAGGACTACAGATCCTATTTAGATTGCTTCAAAATGTAGAGCAACATCCTCAAGCAGCACAAAGTTTCTACCAAACTTACTTATGTGATATTTTAGAACATGTGTTCAGTGTGGTAACAGATACATCACATGGAGCTGGGCTTACTATGCATGCCACTATATTGGCATACATTTTCTCATTGGTGGAAGCTGGCCGTGTGACAGTCCCACTAGGACCGACTCCAGATAATATTTTGTACATACAGGTAAACAGTAATATTGATATAGCATACTTTTGAGTCTCTTAATAAGTATTAAAAACACAAGGATGATATAATAATATTAAAAAAACTGGCTAAGCATGAGTCAAACTCTCACATGAAGGGTACCTCTTATGTATCTATATTATTTTATGTGTTCATATCATATGTTTCGTTATTATATTTATAATTATTGCAAATATGTACATTATAATTATTGTATTTAACTAACTACCTTTTGTGACCAATTTCCAGTGACAGCTCTGCTGAAGGAAATTTCTTAAGAAATAAGTAGGGCCTTTGTGCAAATCCTTTCATGTACATTATTCTTTCATATTCTCTATGTACATAAATTACATATAAAATAAATAAAACCATAATTTAAAAAATCAAGCAAAATATATTAAACAAATTTAAACTATTAATATAAAAATTATAATAAAATATTATATGAATATAAATGTTGTCTTTGTCTGCAACTTAATATTTCTTCTTTTTCAGGAATATGTGGCAAATTTGTTAAAGACTGCATTCTCTCATTTGTCTGACAATCAGATCAAAATAACTGTGCAAGGACTCTTCCATTTGGACCAAGATATTCCTGCTTTCAAAGATCACCTAAGAGATTTCCTTGTTCAGATAAGAGTATGTAAAAAATCTTTTACTATGTTATAGTTTTTTTATATTGAGTGCTCCATATATGTTTTGGGAGCACAGCGACCAGGCCCTTGCTCTTAAAATGCCCCGATACAGGAACTGATTAAATTGTTACCTGCAATTTTAAGTCCTGCTTTACTTTATACCTGGTGGAACAAAACAGTGGAGAGAAGCAATGTGGAATATGAACTCCGTTAATCTGCAGTGGTCTTATGTGGGTGTATTATCCCCTATGTTCTACTTATGTTTATTGTTTTTGCAAGCATTATCTTCTACTTTACTGTAATGATGTTACTGAAAATGGGTATAGGGCATGTGATCATATGATATTTTTATAAAGCTTGAGCAAAATGTATACCAGGAATGGAAAGATATATACATCTCTTTTCATATTGGTGATATATCAGCAGGGCCAGGTTTAGGGGAGGGCAATCGGGGCAACAGCCCCGGGGACTTTGAAAAAAAAAATAAAATTCAGACTAGTAAACCATAGTAAACAACTTTTCCTTTCTTATTTTTTTCGCGTTTTCCTTTTACCTACAGTACTTTGTACAAAAATAACATTAAATATTAACAGAATTCAATAGAAATTAATTTGGGGCTAAGGGGCCTCCACACCTATGTTGCCCCGAAGCCTCCAGACTTCTAAATCTGTCCATGATATTATGCATAAAAAATATAACCAATAAAAGTAAAATTTTATTGATTTCAATGTCTACTCAAAAGAAATATAATGTTGTAAATTTAATGTTAGAATATGATATAATTTTCTAACATTATAATTATATCTTACATAAAATAAATTACATTTAGCCGAAACTTTTACCGATTTGGAAAAGTCATAACATAATTTTAAATGTTAACAAAATGTTGTCATGCAAAAGAACTTAAGCAATCATGTAACTTGTGTTTTTACATCTCTCTATGAGATACTGAGTTGAAACATAATAAAAGGAAATGTATCATATCTTTAGAGATTTAAAGATATAGTTTGTATAGAAGTAGGCTACGGATATAGTAGCTCTTCGGGAAACATATAATTCTTTTTTATAACTCACTTGCAAGCAACATAACTCAATTCAGCTCTTTTAAAATAAAAAGACATAAATAAAATTGAATGATTATTTTTAATTTGATATAAATATTTAAATAATTGCTAGACTAATTTATATAAATCTGTGAACTTAATTATGACTTTGTTACATTTCTTGACTACATTTTAGTTTAAAAAGTATTAAAAAAAAATCAAAATTTACAGGAATACACTGGCGAAGATGACAGCGATTTGTATTTGGAAGAACGTCTTTTCGCTCTTCGTCAAGCACAAGAAGAAAAGCGAAGGGTACAACTATCTGTCCCAGGAATGCTCAATCCACATGAATTACCTGAAGAAATGCAAGATTAATGTGAAGTAGATTAAGTGTTCAGGTCTGATAAGTTATTAATAACAGTACACTTAGCACAATATAAAAAATTGTTAAGATTAATTGCAGATTATGTACAGGTGTTGAATTTGATTATTTTAATTGATGAATACAATTTCCTTTCTTTTTTATTTGGATTTTAATAAAAGTGTTTAACATAACCTTGGAAAAATTGTCATATAGAGTACTTTAACGTCATTTAAAAATGAAGTATTTTTATTAAATTAAGAAACATAATTGTGTTAAGTGAATTGTTGTACTTAAACTGATCTATGCCTTGAGCTAGCTTGAATTATATCTTATTATGACAGTTTGTACAAAGGTCGCCTGGAACAATGCTAGATGATGTATGCAAGTGAAAAGATTACAGCAAAAATCTTTTCAAATAAGGTATGATAAGCTAGCACAAGGCAAACATATGGCCTTTATAAAATAATAATAGGCAGGAAATCATGCATCTGTACACTTTGCTAGAGGATTAATATCAGAACTAACATCTCTATCATCAACATTTTAGAACAATAGGTAATGAAAACTGTGATGGAAACCAGTGTGGAATGTGCAACATAATTTCTATGGAAACTGAGTATTATGAGTAGATTCTAGAAAAAGTTGTATAAGTGAATCGCTGTTAGTAACAGTTTTTATGTTTTGTTTAATGTTATCTGAACTAACTTTATATGGTTTGGGAATCTAAACATTCTAAATGGGTTTCCAAATGCATTTTGGGTCCGATTAACTGTCAAGTCTTTCAATTTTGTGTTTGAAATAAACAGATAAATAAGAAAATGTGTTTCAATTAAAATATTGAATTTGATTGAATGACAAAGTGATAAAAGTTCCCAAGGATAATTACAACTTAATGTATTCGCTCAGCGATCTTCTGCAGTATAAAATTTTCTCATAAGGAGACCAGTGCCATCCAAGCAGAATTCTCAGCCAGCGCGGCCGGCACTGCGACTGGTGGAGAAAGGTTTTGTCCGATTCTCTAGACCAGGATCCGACGCTCTAACTCCCACACAGGGCTATCAGGAATGGTGTTGAATGGAGTTCCGGTTCAACTACAATAGCATTGCGTTGTCAATTCGCGACCAACTCTGTGTCGTATCTTCGTAAGTTCCCTCGCACTATGCTTCGAATCTGGGAAAGCGTACCTCATTCTTTGTCATTATTGAGGAGTTGCAGAGGAGCTATCGGTGCCATCGTGTCTTAGTAGTGCATCATCATCATTTCAGCCTGTTTGAGTCCACTGCTGGACATAGGCCTCCCCATAGACTGCCATGAAGCACGATCCCGAGCCAACTGCATCCATCGACTTCCCGCAGATTTGCATAGGTCTTTACTCAGTCTAGTGGGGGTCGTCCTATACTACGGTAGCTAGTTCGAGGCTGCCACTCGAGAACCTTTATTCCCCAGCGGTTATCGGTTCTACGAGCTATTCCGCTTCATGCTCTCGTACGGAACGGCCCAGGTATATAAAAGTACTCTTTGGAACGGACCTCTCTCTAAGACGGAGAGCTCATGCCACCCGTATTAGCCGATACTCGCAACTTCGGTTGCAATTTAAATCCTTGTGCAAGCAGTGCTATACTGCACTGCTGAGATGGGTCGTACCGCTTTTTCTGAGAACCGTATCTGAATCAGATTTCGATTTCAAATATCAGATTTCGAAACTATGTATTTTAATATTTAGATATTTTACGTTCGCGTATCCTACCTTAAATTCATAAAAAAAAAGGTGAGTGACAATATTTTTATTAATTAATAACATTCAATATTATAGTTTACGGCGGAAGAATTTAAAATAAACACACAAGACATAAGCCTTGGCCTGACGTCCACCAATGCAGCACGGAATTATTAAATTATATTTTTCTTTTTCGTTTTGTGTAGTTTTTTTTTCAAAAATGCGAATAAAATTTAACTCTTAGAAATGTTTCTTCCTTAATTTAGGAAGAAAATTCCTAAGTTGGCATCCCTTACTATTATGTGCTTAAGTATCAATGCACTCCAGGTCAAGGCTAAACAAAATTTAAAGACATCGTTAATACCATGATTCGTATTTAAATGAAACAGAGCTTTTTCCATGCTTTTAAAGGCCCATTTACACGATGCCATTTTCTTGAACATACAAGAGCAATAATTGAATGCAATAAATTGCGCGCAATAATTGTTTAGGCCATTTGTTGTTTAGACCATGCAACTCATTTATTGCTTCAATTTAATTGTATACAACAGGCAAGAAACTGGCACCATGTAAATGGGCCTTAAAATTCAAAATTGCTTAACTTATTCATAAAATCTGTTTGAAAATCTGATATTGTGCATTGTTTGCCGTACCCCTCTAACTAGTGTGATATTTGTATCTCACGCGCTTTGTCGCTCGCTACGGCTCAAGGCTGCTAAATAAAAGAATTAAAAGATATCGTAATCGGATCTTATTTGCATGCTGTTAAGATTCAAAATTACTTAACTTATTCATAAAATCTGTTTAAAAATCTGATATTGTTGCCGTACTGCTCTAATTAGTGTAATATTTGTATCTCACGCACTTTGACGCTCGAAATCTGTTTAAAAATCTGATATTATTGCCGTACTGCTCTAACTAGTGAATATTTGTATCTCACGGGCTTTGTCTACAAATCTGATATTGTGGCAATAATTTAAATTAAACGGTTCTTATTTGCATCAAGTTAAGATTCAAAATTACTTAACTTATTCATAAAATCTGTTTAAAAATCTGATATTGTGGCAAACGCGTATGATATCGCAATTCGGGTTCGGTATAGCGAGTGAGCGAGTATTCGGTACATCAGATTTCGGAAATATCAGATATTGTAAAATACATAGATTTTGAACGAGCCAGTAAGCGATTTTCAGATATTGTACCAATATATAGTATTCGTATCTGTATACGATTTGTATCGCCCACTTCTAGTGCAGTAGTTTAGTGTTAGTGTAGTGTTGTGCTCGTGGGCAGGTTCCTGTTCTGTACATACTTCTCGCCTCAGAGGCGGCATTGTTTTATTTAATAATTAGTGTGCGATTGGTGACAGCTAGGTACCCACCCTAGCGTACCTAAAGCGCAGGCGAATTAGTTGTTAATTTAAGGCACACACCTTGACGCAAGGTGGGGAGGCCTATTTAGTTAACTACACGCCGGCGGGGCGCAAGCCCCAAAGGCTCAAGCACTCGAAATGGGTTTCCCTCCTAGAGGAATTCCTGCGCCAACGATGTCCCGAAGTGTTGGCAAACTTTCTCGCGTTCGTGAAAGAACAATGTTTAGTCGTCGAGTTCGCCAGCGACAGCCCGGCTTCACCAGCAGTCGCCTCGCCGTCATCTCCGGTGCTCTCTGCGCCCGCTGACGAGTTGCCTTCAGCGACAGTAGTAACGCCCGTCGCGTCGACTTCCGCCGCCGCGATCGAACCCAACGCATCCCATTAAGGGACAAAGGGACGAAATCACAGAATCCCTTCGCGATTATAATGTAGATATTTTTCTAGTGTAAGAGACCTTCTTAAACGCTCACCGGCCGTAGGCCGCTTGTACTAGTCTCAGCCTACCTCTCGGGGAACAAAACCTTATTACAAAGCGACCTAGATACGCTATCAATTTAGGCCCTTCCGTGATAATTGCAAGAGATTTAAATTGCAAACACGGCTCATGGGACATCCACAACACCCCAAATAACAACGGAAAGCATCTCTTTAGCTTATCTGATAATTTAAACTTTAGCATAATCGCTCCTGCGACTCCCACTAGGTATCCTACGGTGGGCAACTACCAACACGCGACACCGAGTATCCTAGATATCACGTCATTCAAGGAGGTCTCGCTCGACATCGAGTCGATAGAGACAATCCATGAACTAGATTCAGACCACAGGCCCGTCCTGTGTAAACTGGGCCAGAACGCCGGCGCGGTCCCTCCGACCAAATCCGTAGTGGACTGGCATCGTCTTGAGGTCTAACACAAGGCCTTGGACCCCCAGGACTTAGTCGACCTACCCGAGACGATAGCTACGTTCGATGACGCAAATCGAGCGATAGCAAGTCTCCGAGAAACCATCACTTCCACAGTCGCAGACTCGGAACGGACGGTTAAACTGTCGGGCTCTCGACGGTTTAACTTTCCGCCCGACCTGCGACTCCTAATTAGGCAGAAAAATGCAGCCAAACGCGCTTTCGACCGATACCGATCGGAATCGAACCGAACCCTACTTCGACGCCTTCAGCTAGAAGTCAAAGATCGTGTATCGGAACACCGACATACAACGTGGGACACTCCCCTAGAAGACATCGAGCCATCGCATACCACCTACTGGCGGTTGGTCCGCAGTCTGAAAGCAGACCCCCGCGAATCTCTACCGCCGTTAGTTAGACCTAATAGCGCTTCAGTAGCCCTAGATGACTCCGAAAAAGCCGAATGCCTTGCGGACAACCTAGAGCAGCAATGTACGCCATCGCGCGAACACATCGATACAGCCCACCTAACGGAGGTGGACCGCGTAATCGAGATTAGGGCTGCGCTTCCACCGGAAGGCGATTTAGTGTGGCGATTGTGTCAGTGACCCCCGAAGAGGTTCAAGATATTATTAAAAACTTAAAACCCAAATCCGCCCCGGGCCCAGATAATATTAGTAACAAAATTCTTAAAGCTCTCCCTGGGCCGCTTATCTGTTTACTGGCGGCCATTTACAATACTTTACTCTCCAGTTGCTCCTTTCCGGACGACTGGAAAGAAGCCAGGGTTATCGGCATTCGCAAGCCTAATAAACCAGCCAACCAGCCCTCTAGTTATCGTCCCATCAGCCTCCTCAGTTGCCTGGGGAAGCTCTACGAGCGGCTTTTATTAAACAGGCTCAATGAGCACGTGTTTTCCAACGGCCTACTGCCGGCGGAACAATTCGGCTTTCGAGCTAGATATTCCTGTCCCGATCAACTATTCCGCCTAACGGAACATATCCTAAAAGGCCTAAATCACCCTAAACATATTAGTACAGGGGCTCTTTTCTTCGATGTCGCAAGAGCATTCGACAAGGTCTGGCACAACGGCTTGCTTTACAAGCTGTACACACTCAAAGTTCCAGATAGGCTCGTACACACCATCCAGGCCTTCCTGTCAAACCGCTCTTTTCGATATCGAGTTGAAAGCACCCTCTCCACAAGCCCCCGCCTCACGGCCGGCGTACCACAAGGCTCCTGCCTCTCTTTGCTCTTTACGCTCTACACAAGCGATATACCTAAAGACCCCCACGTTAATCTCGCGCTTTTCGCGGATGACACGGCGCTCTTTTATTCAGACCGCAACGTTAGACAACTAACCACTCGACTCCAAAGCGCTGCCGACCGCCTCGGCGATTGGTTCCGCAAATGGAGAATAGAAATAAATGCCGAAAAGAGTGTGGCGATTCACTTCACACGAAGTACTTACCGTCACATCTTTATAATGGCCCTCGTCAATGCAGAAAGTTGGGGCAAATATCTCGTTATGGCCAACTGCTCCCCTCGGAGAAAAAGGTCAAATACTTAGGAGTCACTTTCGACTCGCGTATGTCATTTACTACCCACATTAATAACATTCGCAATAGAGCCGCGTTCGTCTCCGGCTGGCTACACAATTTAACTAACGCTAAAAGTAAAATGCCCTTAAGGCACAAATTATTATTATATAAGACCTGAGTACGACCTATTATGTCTTACGCATGCATGACCTTCGCCCACACGCACCCTACTCGCTTGTACAAGTTGCAAATAGTACAAAATAAGTTCATCCGCCGCGCAACCGGTGCGCAGTGGTATCAACGCAACGTCGACCTGCACAGCGATTGCAGACTCCCGACGATTCGCGAATATTTTAAAGACCTGACCAAACGGTTCTTCGATAGAGCCTACTATCATCCCAACCCTGTGGTGGTAACCGCAGCAAATTACCAACCCGACACAAACGCGAACGTCAACAAGCGTCGCCCGCGAAACGTTCTCATCGACCCGGTCGAGGAAAGGGACTTAGATACGTCGGACCCACCGCAGGGGGTCCCGCTGGATAACACTACACCCACAGTTAGTGCAACAACAAACACTAGTTCGCCCTCGCCTCCGAGCACAGCGAGACCAACACAACGCGTACACAAGGAACACCCGCGTTCCGGGGCGGTTCTCACCGCCCCCAGCCACCGATTAGCTAATTGCACAGTCGACGGCCATTGGGGTTTCGGTCCGAACCACGACCTCGATGGCCCTTAGATGACGTACCATAGTTAAACGCACGCATGAGCACATGCGTGGCCCTACCCACAGCGGAGGGCCCAAACCGGTGGGTTCTGGCTAGCCCACCGGTTCTGCGTCAGATGAAGCTTTAATAGTCGCGGGACTGAAAGTGTGTTCTATTGTGGATGTCTTCGTTGCGAACTCTATCACGCAGAGAAATACCGAGCATAGCCCGCTCCATTGCTCGCTGAGCGACTTTGAGCTTCCTCATACGTACATTCACTTAGTTAGTAGTACGTGATTTATTCAAATATATTACACATAACTTACACTTACTAGTTCGTAAGTATAAGTTCTTTGGGTTTATTACACGAGCACTGTCGAAAAATATTTAATAATGGAAACTCCAATTATCATTTATCACAGAATCACAGATTATGTATCAATATCATCTATGCATTTACCTATGCCTATCTGTGCCATCCATGCATATCATCTTCGTTCATTCGTTTCGTTGTCCCATTTTGCCATAATCTACTATGGTATGTAGCAAAAATTCTCTGATAATGCAGAATTAACATTACATAGACTTTTCATTGATTTATGAAAACACATTATTATAAAAGGAATAATCTTGAAATTTTTAAAATGGCCGGTGCGGGCGAGGAAGTGTTATCAAGTGATACACGAGAAAATAGATTGGTACCGAACGATAACAGTAACATAGAAGAATCAAATAATGGAGAAGTTGATGTAAGTATTTTTTTAGAAAATTATCTTTTGCTAGATATTTTATAAATATTCTTTATGTTGCAAACATATACCTACATAAGGTTTAGGATAATAATAAAAACACGTATTTAACGATTTATTTTTGGATTATTATATATTTTAGATTGTTATAACAATTCTCAGGTGTAGTATTAACAATTATTTAGCTAGACATTTACATAAACCATAAGGTATTGTTAACAAATTCACTTTAAGAAAAGGTATAGGCTTTTTCTTTTAAAAAAACTTAAAATTTCAAAAATGAAATACCGTTTTATAAAAATCAATATTTCTAAGATGTATGTCAAAGATATTATGGGATCCTAGGGGATTTAACGATGTTTATTTTGTGATATATATTTAAAGTTTGAACATTATAAATAACTTTTGCTTGTTCAATTATAAAAATGGTAAATGTAAATAATTACTAATACAAATTAATGTTAATAATTTGTTTCACTTAATGTCAATGTTTTAGGTACTCCTATAAAAATATATGATTATCATGCTAAGGTAGTTATTAGTTATTATATTTGTATAAAATATATTATAATAAATATTGAAGTGATGATAATATCATCTCATCTAATAGTATCGACTGGGAAGGCAAAATTACTTAACCACCAAATAAATGTTTGGCATTTAAATAATTTTTCCTTTCCAGTGACAAATAATGATCATGCATATGCTTATAATGTTAGTTACTCTCAACAGAGAATTTGTGTGATTTATGATGCTTTAATCTAGATGGATAATCAATAATCGATATCAACAGTTAATTACTAGACATTAATGAGATGACAAGACTCAGCATAGAAACAGTCAATTGATATTGAACACTACAAAAATAATCATGGTGACAATAGTTCTAGGGTTCTTATTTTTGCAGTCTTAATCTCAGAATTGGTAAGGTACAAACAAAGGGGTAATACAACATATATAAGAAGCTTAGAAACTACTTTTATGTCCATATTAATGCAGTACTTTTTTCATCGGAGTTAGCTCAAAAAACTTATCATTCCACTTCTGTAATTTTTTTTAGATATAGATGATATTGCATCTTAGAATACATGCTGTTATAAAATTATTATCATAAACATAAAATGAATTTAAATTGAATTACATTTTCTGTTTTCTTATAAGTATTTTATAATAATCGAGTGTAATTTATAAAATACTTTTTTTTAATTAAGATAATTTTATAATGTGGTTGTTTAAGGACAAACCATTTGGTTAGTTTATTTTAATACTTCCCGCTAGAAAAGAAAAGTTTACCCCTCTGTCACACAAACTTTAATAATAAATTTAGATTAAAAATATTGTTTAAGATACAGTGAAAAACTTAATGTTTCTTTTTGCTGCCATTATCCCACGTTGGTGAGGTAGGTACATGTGAATTTTTATTCACCACCTATTCTCCATATCTCTATCTTAATTTTGTTAACAATATTTACTTGGTTTTTATGACCAGCTGATTGCCTGATACCAACCATCTGGGAATAAACACCTAAATCTGTTACAATTATTTATAGGTCACACAAATATGTCCTTTATGGAATCGAAACCATGCCCAGAGCCAAAAGCTTAGCAACTGTTCCATTGAGTCGTCTGCATACCAAGTCTTGATTTTAACATTTTATATCTTGTTTTCAGTTTAATGCACAAGTAGAGGAGCAGAGGCGTCGTATGCAACCAACTAAAATGGAGTCATTTTTTGCAATCACTAAATCTCTTATCATTAGAGCTTTAGTTGTTTATTTTATTACATCCATGTTCCGCTCATCTTCACCACCTAAAGTGGATGTCCAAAGTCCTACTGGAACAGCTCGTGTACCTGCAATTAACATGTTTCCTAATGGAACAATTTTGGATATGTATTGTTACATATCAGAAAAGGAATTTATGGGAAATTTTGATGACTCACAGCTTTTGTGGAAGCAGACTGGTTTGGTGTATGGTGACTGGTATGGTGGTCCTAATGGGGATGGTACATACACATTTTCAACAGAAATTGTGCCATCAAAAGTACTTCTGAATAATGGATCCATTTACCTGCACACCTATATAGTGCAGTCTGGAAAATCACCCAATCCCAAGGATAAAAGCAATTATGCAGGTTCCCATATTACATATGGCAGGAAAATGTTAAATAAATACAAAAAAATGAAATACCAAAAAACACATAATTTATTGACTGGACAGACTGAAAAATCTGAAGAAGAAATAATGAAAGCTGAGACAATGAAAGAAGAAATAGTTTCTCATTGGCATCCAAATTTAACAATTAATATTGTGACTGATCAAACTAATTGGGTGCAGGGTAGTGTGCCACCCCCACTTGACGAGTTTATTTACTTCTTGCCAGATGGTAAAACTTACAAACCAGCTGTTTTATTGAATGATTACTGGAACATGATGCGTGATTATGTTCCAATAAATAAAACCACAACTAAACTACAGCTTCAGTTAACTTATCAACCATTAAGTCTTTTTAAATGGCAATTATACACTGCACAGGCAATGAGAGATAAGCTGAGTGTATTTTCAGCATTAGGAGCTGAGGAACAAGATGAAGAACAAGACACTGTAAAGGAATTACTTTTGGAAACATCACCATACTTACTAGCATTGACAATATCTGTCTCTGTGCTTCATTCAATTTTTGAGCTACTAGCTTTTAAGAATGATATTCAATTCTGGAATAACAGACAGTCATTGGAAGGTTTATCAGTCAGATCCGTTTTCTTTAATGTTTTTCAATCAACTGTAGTGTTGCTATATGTTCTTGATAATGAAACAAATGTGATGGTCAGGATTTCTTGTTTCATTGGCTTGATGATTGAAATTTGGAAAATAAATAAAGTAATGGATGTTAAATTAAACCGTGAGGATAGGATATTTGGCATCCCTACATTAACTTTTAAAGATAAAGGTTCTTATGTTGAATCAAGTACCAGAGAATATGACATGTTAGCTTTTAGATATCTTAGCTGGGCTTGCTTTCCACTTTTGATTGGTTATGGCGTATACTCTTTATTGTATTTGGAGCATAAAGGATGGTATTCTTTCATCCTCAACATGATGTATGGATATTTACTAACTTTTGGATTTATTATGATGACCCCACAGTTATTCATTAACTATAAATTGAAATCAGTGGCACATTTACCTTGGCGTATGATGACATACAAATTTCTTAATACATTCATTGATGATATATTTGCCTTTGTTATTAAAATGCCAACAATGTATCGCCTGGGATGCTTCAGAGATGGTATGTTGAAAGGGTTGAATATGATACTTTTGTAATCATTTTTTGGTGTGTTTTTAATAAAACAAGTTTTATATTTCTGTTTTAGATATTGTGTTCTTCATATTCTTGTATCAGCGCTGGATTTACAAAGTCGACCATAAGCGTGTTAACGAGTTTGGCTTTTCTGGTGAAATGGAGCAACAGAAGAAAGAATCTGAAAATGGCAATTTGGCCATTGCTGAAGGTCAGCCTGAATCTGAACCTGGGAATAAGAAGGATAATTAAATCCTGCTTTTTTGCATAGTTAGTGTAAATTATAAAATGTGTTATAAAAGTTTCTAGGAGTAGAATAATTTATGTTTTAATCAAAATGATGTATTGTTATATATAGGGTGAGACATGTGTACTAATGAATGAAACATGTGTAGTTACCGATCTAAAATAATGTCATCTAATTTTTATATATTTTGTCAGAATGCCTTAATTTCCATAATTCTTTGTCAAATTTAAATGATTGACAAAAACTATTACCAAGTATATGTTTGCCACTATTACACAAAAAATAGACCAGCAGAATAAAGGTGATTTAAAACTTAAATTCTCTTATAAGGAACATATAATGTCATCTATTGACAATTTGTTTAAATGAAAGATAGCAAAGCAGAGTGAAGAAAGCGAGAAGATCTAATTAAGATTCTTTTCATTAATAAATACTTTCTTTTTTTACAATTATTATATAACCATTCAGTTTCTGATCATCTACTGTGGAAAAATTTCGCTCTGGGCAACTTGTATATTAAAATTTTCATTTTCTTGAACTTTGCTTATCCAATAGACCGATGTTGCACTATTAAGATAAACAATAAGGATTTGAAATAAACGTAAAAAAGAAGATATTATTGTGTGCCACATACATTTTATGATCCCCACGTGTTTGCATTTAAAACTAAAATATACAAAACAAAATAAGGGCCATTTTTTAATATGATAATAAATATATTAATTTTGGTGGTGAATATATGTTCCAAGACCAAATTCATTGAGTAATATTTGAATTTTTTGATATGAAAAAAAGCCTAAAAAAATGGAACTGAAAAAGGACAACTTTTTACGTTTTTTGTGAAAAATGCAATTTTGGTCGAAAACAGACTACGAAAAAACAACAAAGTAAAAAGTTTGATCTTTTTTTTCTTTTTCCCGTGTTGCGTGTCTTCTTTTACAAACACATTCTTGAAGTCTGATAGGCGGTAGTCCTCCTCCGCCAAGTGTCACACTGTTTCATGTGGAATTTGTTCTAAGCTTGCCTTGATCACGTTAATAAGCTGTCTCTCATTATGTATGAATTGGTTTGTATTCAACGGCAATACGTGTATAATAAGTCTAAGGCTTCTATGGTGGTTCTAGCTCTATGAGCATGGGCATTGTCATTCATCAACTTGAACCTGTTTGTATCACATCCTCTATGTATCGATAAGAAGTTATCGTGCCTTCATTGAAAATTACGAGCTCAGTTATACCTGATAGAGAGTTTCCTCCCCAGACCATAACATTGGGTACTCCGTATCTCTCACTTTGTGGAGACCAGCATCCGAAAATCGCTCAACTTCTCTGAACTCTAATGCGGCGGTCCAAACTAAAAAATTTAACAATAAAATAAATACTCATGTTTCAGTCCTTCTACTGTCGTGCCAACGAGAATCGGTTTGCATGGTTTTCTCTTGACAATGAAAGTCGCACTTACGTGAACTGCTGGTCTTCATGCAATCGATTTCAATTGTTGGGTCACTAATCCGGGGTACCCGTCACTTGGCGCAAACAGTTTTGTAGGGAGCGCGCAGTAACGAATCGCTCTCTGCGATTTTAAAATAACCAAGTGGCCCTTATTTTGTTTTGGCTAGTGTATTGTAGGCTTGTGGTCTTTTTTTGAATTTAGAAGTGCAAGAGTTAATAATTACTTACTATACGTACCAACTTATGTCTGTAACAGTAAACAAAGCTTGTAGGCCAATGATATTAACCGAGGTGGCTTATTTTGACAGTTCCTTCGTATACACTAGAAAAGACCATGCCAAACCCAGAGGTGTCCGAGAAGAACTGCGAATAATTGCAGAGTAGAGCTGTAGAACATACAAATAATAATAAATCCAATAATCTTTCAATAAAGCCACTATTAAAAAAGAAACTATTGTAGAAATTTGGGGTTCATAATCCATGACAACTATAAACTCGACTTGATAAATTTTGCGACCAAAACTGACTATACTTTTCGTCGCGTTTAATTTAACTGTTAACCATATTAATTTAACTTCATGAGGACACAATATAATAATTGAAAAATGATAAACATTGCTTTAAGATCAAAAGATTCAAACATTGTCACATTGCTCAAATATTTTCTGATGAGAATATGCTCTGATAAATATGTGCGATATTTAACAAAATTATTTCATTTTATATGTGTGTAATACCGTTTTCTATTTTTATTTACAATAAATTGATTTGTTTGAGTATATAATAGTTATAAAATGTTACCTAGATTTGCCGTTGTAGTACTGCAGCTTCCAATCTTTCTCGTATTTTCATAACATTAATTTGTTGCTCAAATTGTTATTAGTAAATTAATTTGAGAATATAATCCAAATGTTGGTTTGTCTCGTTAGATATGATGTTCTTAACCATCGAGCATCATATTGTTGCATAAATTTGTTAATATATTTTAATACAATAATAGTTTTGTTAAAGCATTTTTGTTTTGTATAAGAATATGTACTTTTTTGTACAATTGAAGTATTAAATTAGTTAAAGCATTTAGATAGGGTAAATGGACTTCCTAATATGGTTCATTGTTTACTGCTGAAATCGCTGTTTTTCTTGTGTCATTTTTAAAATACTTACAATAATTTATGCATTAAAATATAATAAATGAATATCATAATTTGTTTATATTTACAAATTCTTTACAAAATTTATAAAATTCTCGAAATTGTCATATTGCAAATTTGTAGTACTTAGTATTAGTTACATTATACAAGATATTTTAGTGCTCCTGACTCCTAACACTTCATGTATTGTAGTAGAAGATATTGCTACAAAGTTGTCATAATATTTCAAAAGTATACATTTGTGTATGTGGTTGATATGACTTTGAATTTGGAGCGATTCGCCCCTGCAAATGCAATTTGTAAAGAAACGCCTGCTTCCACAGGTTGTATTGGTGGCATTTTGAGTAAAAACTAAGTTCGAATTTTATGCAATTTAAATCGTACCAGTATAGATGCAACGTATCGAACGATTCGTCTTGTTAATGTCTCCATAGAATTTGTAATATTTTCAATGTAATCTAAATAACTTACCATACTCGTCTCAACGTATTGAGTATTATTCGCCATTTTCTAACTCATATTTATTTTCCTTATCTCAAATAATAAAAAGAAATATCTTGTATATGTATTAGTACATAATCATTCTTTATTATTTTCTTTCAAATTACTTATAATAGTTAAAAAATGTTTTATTGCACAATGTATTTGTAAATAATATAATGTAATTCACTAAGATTCCCTATCTCTGTAATGTGTTTCAATGAAGTGTAATAATAATAAAATTGTTGTTTCCAAATTCTCTTTGATTTCCTTAGAAATGGAGCCTATGGCTGCAATATTATTACAGATTTGTTTAAAAAATTTAATTAATAATCAACCCTTTTGCATCAATTCAAATAATTTTCATTTTGTTTAATGATATTTTATCCTAAAGATATCTTATTAACGCGCCCTAAGTGAAACCATTTAATAATATTATTATGAAGTCTCGTCTTTAGTTCACGTTAGGCAGGGCGAGTTATCATTTACCTGTGATAGGGCTACGCAACGAGTAGCCGGGGCCCACTTTATTAGGGTTCCGTACCCAAAGGGTAAAAGTTATAGGGTCCCGCCCTATTACTAAGACTCCGCTGTCTGTCTGTCACCAGGCTGTATCTCACGAACCGTGATACTTAGACAGTTGAAATTTTCAAAGTGATGTACTTCTGTTGCCGCTATAACTGCTACAACAAATACTAAAAAACAATAAAAAATATTCAATTGGGGCTCATAAACAACAGATATGATTTTTTTTTGCTGTTTTTATAGATAATGGTACGGAACCATTCGTGCGCGAGTCGGACTCGCACTTGGCCGGTTTTTTTAATAAGATGGCAACGCATCTGGATCGCTCTTGGCTCTGTCAAGTGGAGTTTAATACACTGTCAACTTGTTTCTTTGTCAACTATTGAAAAAAAAAATGTCCCGTTGAGTTTCTTTCGTCAGTTCTTTTCCGAACCGGTGGTGGTGTTTTGGCAATCAATAGGTAAGTGTAATGCTTCTATATTCAATAAATATATTTGAATAAGTAAGCGATATGTCACATAATTATGTCTCATGATTGAATCGTAATTTCGACTTTATTACTTGCCCTAGGTTACGAGGCTCAAACCTCCATATAGGGGGCCCTTGAATCGTATCGTGCTCCAAAACCGCCTTGTTGGTGAATTGTCTATCTGTCGTAAACAGGATTCGGTGAGATGCTTCGGAGCAGATGGTGTTATCGTGTACCAGCTACTTTTTTTTTCATCTAAGTCAGCAGACCTCTTCCGTTGAAACTGTCAAAGCCACTGAGCTAACATCAAGCTGCACTGCAAGAAAACCTCGTCGGCTACTGTTAGTGCCTTACCACATTTCTTGTGAGAAGCAAACAGGCGGTTCACCTCTTTTTTCCATGACCGTGGACATGTACAAAATTTTCATGAATTGAGCCAACGGTTATATCACTTATCAGACAAAACAAAAGCATAACACCACTAATTCATGCGCATCTCCCGTGGGCCGTGATGGGCGAAAGCTGCTGCACGCCGTACCACTAACGCCATTCTGGTAATTTTCTTATTGGATACATTTTTTGGCAAACCTCCAGTAAAAGAATGCATCGATAACACAGGAGTACCGAGTACGATCTGAATGATCAATTTATAAGACAGTTTGGCTTATGTTCTAACGATGTTTGGCGGTTTCACTTAAGGTACATTAAGGCCATCTCAGTGTATCCTTTTTTTGTGAAGTTGCAGGTTGCAAGAGAGCTGGCGAATCGAGTAGTAGCGAGTATTATAGTTTCGCTTCACGTCGGTCTGATGCGAGGTCGTGGTACTTCCCCGGACGAGGCTATTCGTGCAACAGACGAAGTTGCTGCGTGGCCTTACCACAGTTAGGGACACTATACAGGGAGGCTTTTTTAAAGGTGCCCAAATTTACACAAGAGGTTCAGACTCGGTAATCGTTTATTGAAATAAAAACTTTGTTTTTCAAAAAAATTACCATTCTATTCCCTAAAAACAGAACTTGTTGCCAACGCGGTAGTCATAAATGCGTCGAATACTTTTAAAAGGAACTTGTGTGCGTGTAAATTATGAATGATCGCGCGTAAAATAAATGAGTTGCCCATAAATCATGCACTTTTTGATTTAAGTAAAAGTGAATGTAATTAATTAATTAAGAGTGATTTTAATTTTGAATATTTGTCAATTTTATGAATTGACGTCTTATTTGCATTATAGTTAAAACATGTAGAAAAAGTTCGAAAAGATTGTCGCCGCTGTGGGAATCGAACCCACGTCTTCGGCATTCGCGGCCAGACGCTCTAGCCACTAAGCTAAACGGCCGACTGCCACACCGACGAAAATCTTAACGTGTTTTATCTAAATAATTTTTTAGCATTTGAAGCAATGCTTGGCGCATCCATTATATCCTTTCCAGCATACAAACAATTTCGAATATCGTTTTACAACGATAATTCGAACGAGAGATGTCGCCATTGCTTTTTTAGAAATTTAAATATAACATGTTTTAATGTCCAATCTTAAGCGCAAAGATTAGCACCACGAATAATTTAAATTGCATCATAGTGATTTATTCATGAATTTTCGCGGTACAGTATAATACACGGTATGCGTTGCTGTTCAACGGTCAGACGGTGGGGCAGCCGGGTGCCCAGTGGCCGCACGCGCCGCACTTGTAGCAGCGGCCGTACCCTCCGTAGAACGAGCCCGGGATGCCCGGTACGACTCCCCGCCCGCCGGACCCTGCGGGAAAACATCGAAGCTTCGAAGGGTCACAGATATTGTTCTGTTAAAAAAAAATGGAGACGGAGTTTCTTGCCGGTTCTTCTCTGTGCAGGTCTAGTTTAGTGAACCGGTGGTAGATATTTTGTTGACGTTCAATAAGAGCTTCAGCTAGGCCTATATTGAATAAATATACTTTGACTTTGTGACTCTGTACAAAAATCGCGTGTACAGATATCGTAACCGCAACACGTCGGGCCTGATGGTTGATCACGATTATTTTGTTTCTTTTTTGATACACGAGGAGAATAACGTTCGAAAATTAACGGACTTCGGTGCGTCGGGTTTGTGAGTGATACACGAAAAATATATAGTTAATCATAACTCGCATTTTTTTTCTCAGCGGAAATAAATGTTTATTTTCCCATAAAATTTCTCAGCTATCTGTACAGATCTATTTTTGAAACGATGTTCGATGTTTTCGTTCGAAATTACTTAAAAAAACGCCTAAATCGTTGTTTTTATACTTTAAACGGTAAAGTTTAAAGTATAAAAAACAACGATACCGAAACAATATCATACTAGACACGAATGTACAAATTTATACTTATTATTCGACACGATATGAAACGGTATATAACAAGTGAAAAGTGGTTCTATTACGAATTTTTTAAACGAAACTGATATTCAATCATGTTATGCTTTAACTCTATGTCGCTTGAGCCGAGTTGTGTCAAAATCAACAAAATCAACAAATTTAAAAAAGATCTTAAAAAGTAGAATTCAGAAAGAGCTCTTACAAAAAGCTTGTCATATTTACCTTTAAATCATACTCAACGGGGAAGGAATAATAGTCAAATCATAAATAGGTGAGGTAATCGTAAATCTCAAAATAGCTTCCTAGTGCTAACTACACAAGCGCGCACAACTATCACGCAATCTTTCCTTAATAAATAGCTCTACGTGCGTTGATTCGAAACTAACCTAACCCAACTGGTCATTAGCTTATTTTCAAATTTCAAAGCCGGCCACTTGCAAACCCCAAAGCAGGCGGTAAACGTTTGTCATTTCCATCTAAAACCACGCACCTGCATTATCTGGTACAGCTGTGGCGCCTGAGGGTTGCTCGTCGAGCGGCGTTGCATCGTCGGCAGAGCTGCTACCCGAGGCAGAACCGGCAGAGAGGGAATAATCGACGTCAGGTCCACTATCGGAATCTGACCAGCTAATAACTCCACGTCGGCGTTGGGGCCAATAGTCGCGTAGGATGCTGAAAAAGATTGAACGTCTATCACCGTGGTCGAGCAACTCGGCGACCTCTTTAAATGAAAAATTTATGGGCACAGCTTAGAGAGAAAACACAAACCGAAAAAAATTTACAAACATTTTGTAAAACAGAACAGAAAAAGAAACCTAAATAAAAAAGAATCATTAGCATAATCCGTTGCGCCTTGCGTTTTGCTTTGGTTTATAGTTTGCGGAATGAGGTGGGGAAAGTCCGGCTAAATATATTTTACGGACCTTCAATTAGACTTTGACTGAAAATCTCATTGCTTTAAGATACTTTTTTCCATTCTGTTACCTGAATTAATACTGAAAAAATATTATGTGATGATCATGGTGTTTCCTGGGTGTTTATATACATATTTATAATAATTATTTATTAACAAAAGAAAAAAAGTATGTTTATCAGTACCTATAGTACAAGCATTGCTTTGTTTGGGACCAGAGAATGTTGTGTATAAAAGTGTCCAAAAATGAGTAAAAAAAAGTAAACAATAGCCTATAAATGTTCCATGGCCTCCTCGGTACAGAGGGTATTAGGGCATAGTTTACCACGCGACCCGTTGCGCATTAGCGGATTTCACATATTCTATTTCAAAGAAATATATATATTTTTTGTTGTTATTTTGAAACTGGGGATCGAAATAAGGGTCATCAAGTATATTGAATTAAAGGCGAGCGCCCGCACACTGGGTTATCGGGGCCCAACATAATCATTATTATTTATAAATGAAATGAAATCAATTCGCTCACTAGTCCTCGAACTCGTCCTCCTCCCCCTCCCCCTCCTCCTCCCCCTGTTCGAGTTCGCTGAAGTCCGATTGGTACTCGATGTCACTAGTGCTGCTGCTACTTCCTCTGCATGAAAATGAACAATGAAAATACCAATTTGCAACTAATGTTTGAAACTTTAGTTAAAGAATTCCTTTCCTGAATGCCCAAAAAGTTTAAAGAATTCCTTGTGCCTTTCCTGAATGCCCATATACTGTGTACAAATTTCTATTGTTTGATGTTCTAAACAGGCAAAAATTGATGCCTTGTAATAAAGCATTACATCTTTTTTTTTATGCGACAAGGTGGCTAGCAAGCTGGTGATTCACCGGATGTTAAGTGAAGAAGCAAGATAACCGCCGTCCACGCCCACTTTTGCAACATCCGTAAGGTTGCAGATGAGTTGCCACCTTTAAATAAAGTGGGCCCCACCTACCTCACTTCACACCACTACACTTCCAGTTCACGCCATTCTTCTGTGAGGTCGTGGTGGGGACCTGCCGATTCTTGCAACAGCCGAAGCTGTTGCGTGGCCCTACCACAGTTAGGTTACTACATTTTAATTAATTATTATCTATGAAGTATGAAAAAATAAAGCATACCCGTCATTTTGGTCCATGTTTTCACATATGACATGCACCTCGAGTTCTGTGAACAATACAGCTTCATATTACTACAATTTCTCATGACTTGTTTCAAGACACTGTATGTCAAAAGAGGTATCAATTTAAAATGTACTTGTACAAATATATATTTTATAAGGGTAACTTTGATAACAAAATGGTCACGCAACCCTTTAAATTCAAAGTGAATATATCACACATCATGTTTACAATAATAATGTCAAAGTTACAAAGTCACTACTTGACAGTTTTGGCTTGTAATAACATATCATGTATTTGGTTTGCTCTAGTGATTTATCATGAAGCTGCATTGTTCACTACACTACTAGTTAATGCTTGACTTAGATTGATATATAATGAATTGATACCTTTTCTTGACTTCAGTACATTCATTCTCTTTTGTTTCATCTCATCACTTAAATTTTCAACCATTTTTTCAATGAAGGAATCCAACACTAAGCTCTTGCATTCCGATGTTATTGCTGTTCTGTAAAGATTTAAATTGTACATTATTTCATAATATTATAGTTATTTACATAGATATAATCATTATTATGTAATGTAGCTTACTTTAACTTACATTACTTACGAGTAATTGTGAAAGCTACAAAACACAGGCTTTCCTTTGTTTTAAACAAATAAATGAATAGGCGTTTACTGAATGACTATGTTTATCACATATTATGACATGGCCACTTACATGGGTAGAATGTAATACAAGTACTGTGTCTTAAAAAATATAGTAATATGATAAGGATATAATACCAAAAGCTTTATTTTAATTAGCTTCACTTTGATGTAATTTCAAAAAGAAAGTCAAGGGAAGATGTCCCTGTATATACATTTTTCATGTCATCTCCTAGAGATCCCCTCTATTCTTATTCCACCTTGGAGTGGTCCACACTACATACAAATCATGTTTTTAATGGTATTGGCTAGATTTCTTATGACCACCCTGACTTTCGGGTAGAAACACCCAGATGCAGATAAATTATTTGTAAGTCAGGCAAATACTTCTTCCATGGGAAAATGAACCCAGAACAAAAGCCAATAGCTAGGGAAATAAAGTTATTGTGTATAAGTCTTTAATTAAAATTTACCTTTATATCAATGAGAAATATCTACATATGTTCAGAGCCAATGGAAAACTTGTATTACTCTCACAAGAATTGTTAGCGGTTGGCATTCAAAATAGTAGAGGATGTTTGACGTAGTATCACTTACCTACAAATAGGACACTCATTTTTCTTCTTTTTCCATTTTGTTATGCAGTATTTGCAAAAAGTATGCGAGCAGTTTAGAGTTGTTGCAACAATGAACAATTCTGCACAAATGCTACATTGCAATTCATTCTCCATTATGTCGGTAAACTCAGCTACAGTGTTTTTCTTTTTTGAGGATTCCCCTGATTCAGCTTTTAAAATTTCTTTTTCGGTTTCCACAGTTTTAAGCTGGTTTTTAACCTGATCAAAGGTGAATGTACTTTAATGTCAAGTCGTAATACTACACATATTATACTACAGGTCACACATAAAAATAAAATACCGTAATATAGCAATACAATCATCTGCTTATATATACAGGAAAACGGATTAATAAAAGACATTTGTAAACGACTGTTGGTTTAGCGAATTACGGGGCGGTTTCGCCGGGCGAAGCGTTTTCCATGCCACAGTGCATTTATTGCAAAATAGTCACACATCCAGAAAAATTTTTTCATTCATTCGTTCAGCATTCATTATCCGCCATAAAAACGTCTAAAATATTTTATTCGTAAGGTCGCCGCTGCCTGCGACACTTATTCATTCATTTGCATACATTTATTTACAATGCGCGCATGCCTCTCAAAGCTTCCTTTACGTTTTGCTTATACATTCCTACTGTCACATGTAGGGCAAGGCAGACATTGTAATTTCTATATTTCACTATATTTACACAAACTTTTTCCTTAAATAACTCTACACATATTCGCAGATTAGATTATAGCAAGTACTGTTGCCAATACCGTCCTCAACGGATTAGAGCAAATAAATAAATAACAACCCACCCGTTCTAGTTGTTCTAAGAGCGAGTTAATAACTTCAGTTGACTGTTCTGCATGCTTTTGTATCCTTTCTGCTGCTAAAGCAGCTAGTTCAGTCTCCCTGTCCTGTACTCTAGTCTTTAATAAAAAATTAACATATTATTTATATCTTCCAATGCTTATTGTTTTTGGATGAAATTTAAATATATAAATAGATATTGAACAACTGAAAGAAAAAGCAATTCATTCTTGTTTTTGCGCCATATTTGCTTTTGGTTCTAAAAAGTTAAATTCTAGCTTCAACAAAAAGTAAAACTCTAATTGAAAATTACGATTAATTCTTGAAGTATAAACTGTTTACCTCTAATTCGATGATAGATTTGTGTGCATTTGCTTGAGCATCAGTTAACTGTTTTTGTAGTTCTTCTCTTTCATTAATCTGAAATAAATTGCAATCTTAATTATACAATATTTTTTTTATAATAAATCTCATAAAATTTCACTCTTGCCAAATACACCTTATATTCTTTATTAAATATTAGTTTTGACTGCCTTTGTAAGTACCAATTTTTTCTTTAAGTTAATTTTAATTTATTACAACACTCACAAGTTTTTCCATTTTCACTTTTTCTTCATCATTAACTTTTCTCATTTGCTCCATTTGATTGTTTAACACCTGTTCAATTTCAGATTTCTGTTGTTCGGTCTGCTCCATTTTTGCTTCAAGATTTTTTTTCAGTTCATTTAACTCTTGTAGAAGTTCCAATTCTCGAGATTTCTTTTGCTCTTCTAACTCCCGTAACTCCTATAATATAAAATTAATTTTAAAAAGATGCATGTTATAGGTGCAATAGAATAGGACATATACTGGATCAGGAAACAATCTCTTTTATGTAAGATATCTTCAAATTTTTAACTTATTTATATTAAGTTACCTGTTCTTTAGCTACTTTAAGTCTTTCCATCTCTATTTGTAATGTTCTCTCAAGCTCATTTTTTTCCTTTAGTCGAATTTCTTCTTGTTCATGTATCTTTGCCTCTAGTTTGTTTAACAAGTCTTGCTTTGATGAACTTTCTTTGTTTAATTCTTCAAGAAATTCTTGTCTCTCTTGTAAGAGTTTATCTTTTAATAGCTTATTTTCTGCAATAAGTTCAGATTCTGCCTCATTGTGTTTTTTAATTTGTTCCTATAAAAAATTTTAATTTTTTAATTAATATTAAATGATAGCCGCCGCTCATGGGAAATTGCTAGGCCCGTAGGGTAACAGATACATTGCTACCTTTTAATAAAAACCCTTAAAATACCTTTAAAAATTTTGATGAAAGTAATATTGAAGCAATGAAATTTGTTTGTATTATATAGATAACAATAATCAATTTTCATGTACAACAGCATATTAAATGAAGATTTTATAACTATATTAACATGTTGAAAAAAATAATGTTTACAAGTTTGTGAAGCTAAGTTTTCACTTCTGATGACAGTTTTTTTTTACAAAGATTATGTAAAATTATACCATTAATTCTGATATTTTCCCTTGCATTTCATTGGTAACTATTGTAAGCTGTTTATCTCTTTCTTCTATAAGAAAAGCTTTTTGTTTCTCAACTGCACTCTTCTCCCCTTTTAAATTCTCAATTTGTAGAGTGTAATTATTTTTCAATAGATTGATCTTTCTATTCATTTCTGATTGTAACTGTTCTTTCAGTATTATTGAAGTTGATTGCATTTGTTTAGCTTTTTGTATTTTTTCTTCAATATGTTTTATTTCACAACACTGTGACTCCTCAAATTTCATTTTCACATTATTTATAATGTCAGTGCTATTTTTATAAATCTTTTTTACATCATCTTCACCATTATTATCAAGTTTTATACGTTTTCTAGGGGATTCAATTGAGTTATCTAAAAATCTCTGAGCAGGATCAATGAAAAAATATACAAATTCTTGCAATGGCTCCAGCGAAATAACATTTTCATGTTCAAGTCTTCTTTTACTGCCTTTACCTAGCTTTACGCCGTTTATTTCAATTCCACAAGAACTGTAGTCTTCAATGAACCAAGCATTATCATTTGTTTTTCTGATTATGCAGTGACTTCTTGAAATTGCTAAAAATGGTATGACTACTGAATTCTTTAAACCGCGGCCTATGCTAAACTAAAAACAATAAATATCATTTTAGTTGGCTGATTATAAAAAACATCTTATTAAAATTTTATTTGTCTCTTATAATTTTTATATCGTATGTATAATTAGGTATTTTATATTAAGTATTATAAGTACTAGAGAACTTACATCTTCAGAGGAGATTTGGATTTTTTCTAAGTTGTTGAATTCAGGTTTTAATGTTTTGTTTGAAATTAAATATGGAACGTTGTTTTGCATGTTTAATGTTTTAGTTTGATCCAAAGTTGACGACTGTTATTCTTTTTGTGTAGCATTTGTGTGCTAATTTTAAGTAATTCTTGAAATTACTGGGACCCTATATGTAAACAAACACGCTGTTTTATAACTTAGTGGTAGGTTTAACGTAATTAGCACTGAACCTGTGTTTGTGATAATCAGAAGAAACACCGTTTTATTAACAAAATTGACAGTGACGGATAACCAATAATCATAGATAAGACATATATACTGAAATAATAATAATAAATAATAAACTAAGATGAAGCACTGTATGAACGAGGATACATACATTAAAAAACAAAATTAACTTTATTTTTATTCTATAAATAAATTTTATGTCACTATTAATATGCGATAATTACCCAGTATATGAATATTCTAGTAAATTAATGAAATAATTACAGAAAGATGGTTTATATATTTCAATCACACAAATCACTTTTTAATTCTTCAGTAACAAAGTTATTTGCAATAAACCACTACATTAGTCCTATGGGTTATGTAAAAAGCCTGATAAAACATTTTTTTCACAACAGGCCGGCAATGTATGCTATGCTACCTGGTGTTGCAGATGATCATGGGCGGCGGTGGCCGGTGATCATTTACTATCAGGTGAGCGTCATGCTCGTTTACCCTTTTTTTCATTAAAACATATATATATTTTCTAATTTATATTTATGTATCATAAACAATTCTGTTTACTGGAAAATGTTGAGGCTGTAACTTTTAAGACTTTGCTATATTTAATTTTCAGTGCTATATAATTTATTATTTTTACAAGTGTCAACGCGGTGTACTCCAAATTTAATCCCAAACTTTTTTACAATGTTTGGATGTTATAATTAAGCAATATATACATAATTATATGTTATTCAAAAAGTACTTGGCTTCAACTTTTTCAGCTAAACATGATAGATGTAATAAATATACAAATTTATATAACACTTTTTTTTGGAGACAGTACCTCCAGCCGTTTCCCTTTTCGACTATTATATTTTGTTCTTACTAACTACAATACCAATGATGTTTAATATTATGTATTTATAATTATGACGCATGTCCATACTGCGCGGCGTTTAATTGTTCCGCTTTACATTATATGACATATACTATACGTGAATGAACGTATGATACGGAAAGAGATAGCAGTCTATAGAATTGCAATCTAATTACACCAATTAGTGTAATTTGAGTGCCTCAGTTTCGGTGTGCTAGTGTAATATGTACCACGTATTTTATATAATGTTATTGTTATATTACTGTAGTTCAATGTCTATCATTTATTTTTTTCCGAAATTATTGCCTTTCGTACTAAAATTAGAAACAAATAAATCAGTTACGTAAAAGTAATTTAAAAAACTTTTCTTGTAAATCTTATACAAAAACTATAGAAAGGCTTAAAAAGTTAGTAAAAGTTGAAACTTTTCTAAGCATCATTTTAAAAACTGTTGTAAAGGAGGGTAAGTTTAGGAGGATAAAGGGATACGGGGGTGAAAGCATATTTCTCGCCGGATAAAACGAATAGATAGAGGTCTTTAATATAAACGAAGCAGACTTTAGTACTCTCGAAAAATGTAGAGCGGCGGTTAAGTACATAATGAATTTTTAACGCGATGGGTCTTGATGCTTTTTGGCATGCGGCGAATAGCGGTAACTCTCTAACGGTGTGTTCAAAACTTTACACCAGCGTTTATTAAGGAGTAAAGTTTTGATGAGCGCTATTCGATTTATTATTTCATAATAAACTTCCGTGAGATTGTTAAGCATATTAATATGGCATGCAATGTTTTATAATTGTATTCAAAGTTGTAACATTTGCGCTTTAATATGTAACAAATTTTTTCATGAGACTGTCATTAGTTATATTTTTTCAGTTGTTTATCCTTAAAGGTGATATGAAAATAGTTTTTACAATTACAATTTTCTCACTTGTTTTTATTCCATAGCCAATTTTTTTATGATTTAGGCAGAAAAAATGCCTACACATAGCCGCCTTTCCGGAGCATGCTTCGACTATATCGTACTTGCACCGACCACAAAACCCCCACGATGTTCCACTCAGGGCCTGCCCCCGCTGTGTAAGTTTGCGTCTCAGAGACTCCTGGGGAGCGACTCCCTGTCGAAAGCGCGCTGAAATATAAATCGCGCTTTTGTACTTGGCCTTTGATGTACGGACAACGGACTCCCCTGAGTTCGCTACCTAGAGGCCATGGAAGTCAGGAAAGCCAGTGATAACCAGCAGGAAATCTTCGACCAAACGCGATACTTTTATTCCATCGACTCTACCTCGGCTGCAGAGAACATGGAGAGGGGCTCTCAGCCTGATCAACATGTCTGTACATGCATGTGTTATCTTAGGTTATGATTATGCGTTAACTGAAAAGATCGCTTTACCACATTACAAGAGATAATGTAATATTCATTAATTTTCTAAGTTATCTAAATAATGTAGATACGTAGGTATTTACATCCTAAATATTTAATTATTCATTTCGATTTGTATGTCAATGTTTCATGAATCATGGAGTCAGAACAACGGTGTTTTATAAAAAAAATAATTATACTTCTATTTTAATGATTATGTTCTAGTTCTGTTAGTTATTATTATAGTTCTCATTTAATATCACTTCAAGTAAAAAATGTAAAATTATTTTCGTTCTGTATGTTTTACGGACAACGACATTATATATATATCTCTTACAATTATCACCGCCTCGGGTGTTTCTTTCCCAAATATTTTGAGTTTTGTTTGACTTTGAAAGTGGATTGCATGGTTATTTATTAAAATTTGTAGATACTTCTCATCGATAGATATAATAAATGACCAAAAAATCAGTATTGTAATTAAGGTTGTAAGTGAATTAATTATTAGGTACCTATTGTATATCTGAAGTATTGAATACTAGTATACCATATATAATAATACAAAAAATTATTGCCAATTACTTACGTCTTACTTTTATGGAAAGGAACAAAAATATCCTTTGTTCGACAAGAAGAAATATTGTTACCTTACATATTCTTACCATGGATTTTGTAGAAAAAAAGTTAAGTCTTTAATAATGGATCTAAAATATTTGTCGCCATCCATACTAGCATTTCATGCTAAAAATAATGGGACATGAAAAATTATCAGCCCCTATTAGATTTAGAAAATTGTTTACATAAAAATTTTTTTAAGCATATTTTTGGCGAAGTTTTATAACGCCTACTCATGTAAATATTATTAACTTATGCCCCTTACAATTTACCGTGGCCGGCACTTGTGTTATTAGATTAACTCTTGAGCTTTATAAATTATGTTTCTTTTTACATTGACAAATAAATATAAGCAAAGTATTCAGGGTAAAGATGGGGTAATTCGGTTTGAACTTACTTTTCGCAGGATTATAAATAATTATTCCGTTTGAAGTAATATCGTATCTCTGTTATTTTATTAAAAACGAACAGAATCCTTTATTCTCATCACGTAGACAATTATTCGAGTGAAGGGAGAAAGCTTTAGTGACTAACCTCTGGGAATGGTCAACTTTTGTAATAAGCCGATTCCACCCCCGACATTTATCCAATTTAATGAAAAGAAATAATCGATAATTAAAATAGCTAGCTATACGCGATTCTTTTTTAATTTGTATCCGGTAGAGAGTTGGAGGATACAGTTTCCTAAATATATTCGGTTATGGACTCATTACTATTACAAAAAAATCGCCATGAAACCAACCGATTGAATAAATTTTGATGTAGTATTATTTGCGATTTGAGGTGGCGCTATGTGAATTGGTTTGAGTCTGTGTATTAACTTTAATAGCGCCATATAACTTTAACGAAAAGGTTATTTGACCCATAACTTGAAATGAACCCATACTTTGAGTTGGTTGGTTAAGTGGCTTAAATCCATCTATATAACATGTTTAAAACAAAATATGGTCGCCGACTTATGCAAATACCCGTACATACCAGATCGTATTCGAGTAACTCAAAACAATTTTTACTAATCATAATTGATTCTCAAGAGTTCGTATAACTTTGGCATATAGGTTTTACACAATAGAAGAAAAAATGGCTATTATGCAAATTTTTTAAATTAGCTGCATTTTCTAAAATATAATAAAACTGTTTGATGTAAATTTTTTAATGATTTTGATTTGTTTTAATATGTGAAGTGGAACTAAATTGAACTGCAAAACAATAGTAAGTTGAAAACAAAATGGCACAAAAAAACATGTCGCATTAATCTATATATTTTTTTATCTTTTACAATTTTTTTTGTATATAGGCGGCCTTAACGGAAGAGTAAGTGCTCTTTACTAGTCAATGAAAGTATTCTTTTCCAAAGAAAAGTAAAGAAGTAAAAGTAAAGAAAGTTTTAAACAACTATTAGGAATAAATTAATACGTACAACTATAAATACAATTATTACAATAAATACAGATATATAAAATAGAAAATAACCAGTAACTAATGATGATATTGATCTGACAACTTATCCTGAAATACTTTCCGTACTTTGATCTTAAACGCATAACTGTTGGTGGTCCTCGTAATTTGGAAAGGAAGTGCATTTCAAAGAATAATAGAAACAGACAGAAACGAAGTTTGGACGAAGACAGAGTGGTAGGAAGGACATTGAAGTAAAAATTTGATTGAAGAGCAAAGGGTTCTACTATCTTTGGCGAACAGATATTGTTCGTAGGGAGTTAAGTAGTTCGGAGAATTGGAAGACATGAGGATGGATGAATCAAGGGTATCTAATAAGTTCATGAAAACTACAGCGCTAATAAATCGTAATAAAAATAAATCGCTAATAAATCGACCGATTTAGTTGCGAGCGGTACAAGGACCACATGATCACTGATCAGATCAGTTCGAGACACATGACTTTCGAAGATTGATAAAATAAATCGAATGTATTTATTGAGATGACGATCAAGTTGTGGAGATGATCAATGTTTGGAACATGTTGTTGAGGTCTGCTTCAG